GGGGGGGGTAGAAATGTACAAGCAGCATCGCTAAGTGGAGGGAAAAACAACAACAACAACAACAACAACAATAAAAACAGCAACAACAACAAAAATACTGAAAACACTAGCTAAAATATTGAACCAGCCAGCAAGAGCCCCGTCGACCGAAAGAAAACAGCAGCAATGAGAAATAATCATCAAATCAATATTCAATCGACAGCTCCAGTGGTGGATCCGAGTCTTGAGTTAAGGGGGAACAGGAAGGGTAGAGGAAGGCCCGTTTTTGTTTGTGTGTGTTCACCTGCCGGCTTTTCTTCCCTCTGCGTCTATTTCTTTTTTATTTTTCTCTAAATGGGGGGGGGTTACGGGGAGCCCGTGCCCTTCCCTGCATCCGCCACTGAGCTCGATACAAACACTTTACCAAGCACCTTTCAAGGTCAACATTTCCAACGGCTTCGACTCTCCCAGTCCTCCATCATTCTTCCTATGAGCCCTGACTCGTACTAGGTATTCGGTATCAGGTTCGAGATTAATCAGTGGTGCTTTGGTGACGTCAGCGCCCACAGTCATTTCGGTGACATAACCAGCGGTTCCACCCAGAACCTTTTTCATCTGCACAGTGAACTCACTGACTTCGTAAACTTCAGCGTGGTGTGGTGGCTGCCACGTGACAGTGGCTTCTTTAGCTTGGATATCATCAAGTTTCAAGTTTGTCGGGGGAGGAGGTGGTAAACCTGCAGCACAATCAGAAATAGTTATCATCTTCTTTGCCTGTTGGACTTTTATCTTTTCGATCTCATCATCAAACTGTAAGGGCCCGTTATCTAAACAAAGTTCAGCCTGTGTTTAACAGAACCGCATCCTAAACAATCTCCAAATTAGCCAGACCTTTTATATGAACGTTCAGTTTTGTGAACAGTGTCAAGAAGACCGAAAGGTAACAGTGGAGGGACATATATTTAATTAAATGAACCCTCTCATGGAGAGTGCCTGATGCCCACTGATTGCGTACATTCGCGGTTTAGGTTAAACCTCGTGTAAATAACCGGCCCCGAGTAATTTGCACGAGAGGTGCTCTGAAGACTTACATACCATATTCATAATATCACTTTGAAAAGAAGAAATAAAAGGCATACCCAAAATGGTGACGCTTTTAATAGGTAGCACACCAAAATATCCTGAATCTTTCATATTCAGGATTCCTTTTACTATTTCATCAGACGGATCTCCTTCTGTCGTCGTCGCTATGAAATCAAGTTCCATAGAGATACTGAAGAACGAAAGCGCCATTAATATAAAGTTGTTTTCATGGGTCCAATAAGAATCATCACAGCGTTGTATTTTGATAAAATACTCCGCGCTCAGCAAGCGCATCTTTTGTCCCAAACCTCTCGTGTTTCAAGGTTTCGCCGTTTTACCCTTCAAACCGCTCAAAAATCCGCCAGTTCTGAAGGACTTTTTTCTTGTGACCTTTCTTTTCGTCTTCTGTCTCACTTTTGTTTTCATTCAGTAAAAGTTAATTCTTTCGCGTTCTACAACGCTTAAAACATTGCTTAAATCTTACTTTTTCTCCATATCTCTCCATTGAATAGACTTCCAAAAATTGATGGTTCTTGTAGCGCGTTAAGGACGCGACGCACATAATCATAAACCTGCTACTTATATCATGTTGACTTGTGTCTCTAGAGTTGCCGAACTGCGAAGCAAACCACGATATTTTTCAGTTTGCTGTGAGGGAAGGGTATTCATTAAATCGAAGGCTTTGAAAATTGGCCATGGTTTATAAGCTCGGTCAAATGCAATCGGTTAAATGTATTACACTGGCCGAGCGTGGCGTTCATTGGAATTATTAAATTAAAAAAAAAACAGATGTTAATAGATTTCATGGTTTGAATTTAGCGGTAACAGTCGAAGGATCTTGTATTGTAATCGTCCCGTTGAGAGTGAAAAGGTCTCTTGTCGGTGGAATTGACCGATCTTTCGAAATTCTCCTGACACGACTAAACTACTATTAATAAATGCAGAGCGTAAGTTTCTAAAGAAATTGTGGTGTGCATCTGCAGAGGTATAACCCGATAATTTTGTTTAATCAATTGAGTTGATAAAGTCAGTTCAGTAACCATAACAGAGAGATTCTAAAGCTTTGTGTGTAAGCCCTTCGTCATAGCGAACCACTATCCTCTGATTTGCTACGTCCGACAAAGAGCTAGTTAGTCAGCCTCGGAATCTCTCTACGGTGTCAAGTCACAACATCAACCAAGTTTATTAAACCAAGTTTTGTTGACTTCCTATGACTGCATCGCTCTTCGGCTCAGCTTACCGCCACATCAGTCCCTCACCCTGGTTCGGGTGAAAACTAAAAATGTTTTCACCTGGACGGCGAGACTACAAAATCGAGAAAAAAGGAGTAAATGTACATTTTATGCACCAAAAATCTGTTGAATACTTACTCAACACCTACACTTAGAACTGTCCGGGTAAGAAACACTCTCTTATCCTGTAGCTTTGAGGAGAAGTTTGCCACCTATAATGATATCACATATTGAACGATTATTTTATGAGCGTGAGTTGAATATAGTAATAATAATCTCATTTATTACACGACTCGCGCAGTCAGAGGGCCAATAACTAAAATCAACCAATCAAAATGCTCTATTGCCGGTCAATATTCTCTCAGTATTGGACTGGGCACTGTCCCGAATGGTCCCGAATGATACTGTACTTGTGTCCCTTTGAACATCAGTCGTATAATAAATCTCTTATTAACCAAGCTTGCTCGGGACCGTACTGGAAGAATATCGGCCCTCGGTCTTTTTTGTACGGACCTCGCTGCGCTCGGTCCGTACTGTCAAGACCTTGGGCCAATATTCTCCCAGTACAGCCCTCGCGCTTAGTTAATAAGATATATATCCAACAAGCGCGGGTGGAGTAATTTTTTTATCAATAACGCTCGAAAATATTGATAAATCTTCCCAACTTTATTTGTATAAAGAAACGGACTGTTACAATGTACAAAAACGCTTTCGGTTTAACTCGTCTTCGCGCGCGCGCATGGTAAAAATAAACAATAGCCTCCAATTGGCGCGAAAATATGCACGGATGTTTGTCTGCGGACATTATCGCTTCCGAAATGCGAACAGTTTTCCGAGAGTTAAGCTCGTGGAAAGCAGTGAACTCCTCGGTCATTAGGCAAGGACGTCGCTGAGCCCGGTGCGTGCCTCATGACCTCGAGCCAAATATTTTCCCGTCCGGCTTGACAAAACTCAGTGGATAAGTACATATATCTTATTAGAAGTTTTGTTGTGTAGTATCGCTGAGTATTTTTACGAGTTGTGCCGTAGTTTGACGAGCCCGTGGGGCGAGTCAAAATACAAATTACGAGTAAAGATAATCAGCGATACTACCCAAAAAAACGTCTTGTAAGTTATTTATTATCCAACATGCCAAATTGTTATTTCACTGCGGGCGAATTTCGCGGATATTTATTTACGGGAAGTACGTGACAGAAGTAGGCGAAGCGGAGTGGAATTGGCGCCGTGTCGTGTTATTGTTTCTATTTTCTTCAATAAATGAAGAAATTTCCTAGTTGTCCAGCTGTTTTTCTTCGTTCGATTCATCCAATAAACTTGGATCTATATTTGCCTGCCATTCCGACTCTTCTTCGTCAGAAATATGATTCAAATTGTCCGCCATTTTTTTTTTGTAACTTCAATCCAGTTCTTCGCTTGCGCGATGCGAAAAAATCTGTCTAACCGGTTATCTGGAGTACAAATACCGCGTGATATTTTTCCTCGTCTATGACGTTATTTGTACTCTACGGAGTGTAGTTGGATAATAAATATTCTTCCACCACCAATTAAGGTCATGAGAACGCGCAAATATACTACTGCAGAACAGGGCAAAGCTGATGCGAAGCAACAAAATGGTCGTAACAAAAAATCTAAAGTTGGTTTTTTTTGTTTTCGTTTTTTAGGCTTGCATTTTAAAGAAGCGATCTTTTAAGCGCTATGGGAATTTTATTGTTGGATACAAAGAACGCTTTAATGGTTTCGAATGTTTTTTCGTCTTTCGCGTACTCCTTAGGTGATCGAAACGGATACACGGATAAAGTCATAGGACGTCTTTTGAAAACTAAAAAATCAAAAGAATAAAAAGTGAAATGATAGTGAGATAGTAATTATAATTTCTAATTCGAACTAACGGCAGGAATTTGTGCTCGCCCCTTCGGGACACGGAAAAATACTACGCAACTCGCAAAATATCCGCGCTTAGCATATGTTACTCCCGAATATAGTCTATATTTTAGCATGCGTCTCAGCATCACTACATCATCCACAAGTTAGAACGTAATGTTTAGCTTCTAAATCAGATCTAACCTCCGAATTAAACTGCTGAGAAAGGAAGCTGGTGCAGTCGTTATTTTGGTGGTGCGTTTGGAGTTCTGGGGTCCATTCCACTTCAATTTTCATTTTTACCGTCTCATAAACTGCCGATAAAATAATAGGAAGCTTGAATATTAGCCCAACAAACAAATAACACGCACACACAAAGAAAGCAACCAAACAGGTTTTGGCTAATAAATCAAGCGACATCATGATTCAGCAAGCTAAGTAAAGAGAGATTAAAATGTAACAAAACCTCTCAGGGTTGTCTGTAAATATATGGGAACTGTGTAATTAATTAAAATCTACTGTTTGCGCTCTATGGTTGGCTGTTGGCTGTGAGCGATCTTGCGTCAAGCGTTTGCACGATTTCTCTACGGTTTAAGCAAGTTGCAAGTTTGCGAAAGAAAGAAGGGATAATGATCATAGTAATTATAACAAAAAACAGGCAAAAACTGTTCTTGATACCTACTTTGTATCAAAGTATTAAATTTCACGCCTTAGTTTTTCCTACTGCTCAAGTAGTGTTCATTACGGCCTAGATCCCTTTGATATTCAACAAATAAATGTATGGTTCAGCGTTCTTTTTTTTTATGGCTTAAATTACTAAATTATGTCCAGAAACCGATCAGTCCAAATTGATGGTATTTTGTTCCGTTCAGGAAGATGTAGGGACCAAAGAATACCTTCCACGGTCAGAAGTTGTCTTCAAAATTGTTGGCTTTATTGTTGTTAACAAAAATGAAGAGAGTCAATCCAAGAAAGTAAGTTTGCAACTGATTAATGGTAATTATCGCTTCGACCACTCAAATTCCTCAGCCAAGCTGATAATTTAACACGTAGGGTGTTGGTCCTTAGAAATAAAAAAACAAAAACAAAAACAAACAAACAAAAAAAAAAACTGCGCTAAGAGTAAACCCCATACCTCCGACCAAAATTAAGCTAACATCGCCTGAAGCTGTTCCCAGACGGTTTTGAACCACGCACGTATAATTTCGCTGTTTGTCCAAATCCTCGACACTTGAGATGTGCATGTTTCCGTTTTTTACTGTCAGCGTTTGAATTGTTGAAGGTTTAAGATCATTGGGGTCGAGTAAAATCACTGGAGTTCCCTGCCTGACATTTTTATTCGCACCGGGGCCATTCACTCTCCAATATAGAGACGGTGTTGGGAACCCTGAGTAGTTGCATGTTAAATTAACTGGATTGCCATGGTGCACATAGATCTTCTGCGTCGCGGGCGCTATTACAGGTGGGGCTAGAAAGAGAAAATAAGCGAATATTACCAATCAATATATATCACACGAACATCGCGGATTAATGACCCTATCCACTATACCTATTTTTATCGCCGGAACGATATATCGTTGGAACGATTTATCGTCGGAACGAGTTATCGCAGGAAAGCTCAGATAGCTCGTCGATTTACAATGTATCTTTCTGAGGTGACGATAAAATAAACGATGTATCGCCGATACATTGGGAGAACAAAGCGCGATATTCCACAATAATCGTTTGCATTACAATTGCATAGTACTGCATGGTAATAAAACTTGATAGCCACTTTGCCGACGCAAAGGAACCTTGGAGTCTGCGTAAGGAGAGTTGCTCGACGATTGCCAAAATGAGTTTAGTTTTCATTGCGTCCCCCTCCCCCCTCCCCTTCCCGTGTTTTTGATAAAATGTCAAAAGAAATTATACTCACCGCAGGGAGTGATATACTGATAAGTAGCATATTCCCCTGGTGCTGGAGTTGTTATCACCGACCCGTTCCTCACGGTTCCAACCGCCTTCACAGTGTACGTTTTACAGTAATCCAGAGAGGGGATAATCACGGAACGTGTGCTATTGTCCACAGTTATATTTTTCAGTTCAGTATTTCCTTCTAAAATAATGACCTCATAGCTGGCGACCTTTTCATTGTCAGAGGGTGCATTCCAACTCACATTAAGCGCGGTTTCATTTGGGAAGTGAGCCGTTAAACCAGGGACCCCTGCATATGAATAAATCAAAATCGAGTTAGTGTTTCTAATGGATTGATTCTTACAGATGCGTGGAAATAGGTCTAATGTATGTTTACGTCAGAATTCCATTCTTCTATCCCCAAGCCTCGCTTACACGGTGAGGAATGATAAATTCTTATAAAGGGCGTTCCCAAAATAACTGAAATCCAAGAGCAAACAAACACACAAAAGGATCTTCATGAAAATGACAAGGAAGTGGCAAAGATTCATGAAAATTTTAGTGCAAATGAGGTTTGGGGGTATACACTATGCATAAGAGCTATCAAAGAAATTTCAGAGATTGAACACTAAAGAATACATGTACTCAATGGGCATCACAAGACCAAAATCATGAGGCCACAGGTTAAAAGGAAAGCAATATCTGCGATTTCAATTAAACTGTAAGTTTAATTTCGATATTTAAAATCCTCAAGCAGAAAATGATCTAACCTATAATCCATTCGTGGGTGCGCACTTCTTCCTTAAGATGGAATAAAATTAGTGATCCAAGACAAACAGAGTCATTATGAATGTGAGAGCTATTGACGATGACTCAACATTGGACCACAGGCAACTCAAGGTCAATGCTTCGGGTTCGTTTTCTTTAGTTGTTTCATGGTTATAGATTTGTTTGTTTTGTATGTTTTCTTTGTATTGTTTCCATTGTGGTTTTTGTGGCTGTTGTCTTTTTTAATGTCATTTTCCCGTTGTTTTTGTCCCTGGTTGATTGTTTGTTTGTTTTTGTATGACTGTGCATTGTGCTGTACCTTGCGCATTCGTCAGGAAACCAATCTTCAGGAGTAACAGGAAAACGATTACCGTTATCCGTGACGTCATCTTTGTGGAAGATTTCCACGCTCCACTCAACATCTGTGCTGAGAGGAAAACAATAACTGTTTCATAAAACACAACTGATTTCTTATTTAATCTCTACGGGTAGCTCCAAATCAAAGTTAGGTAGAAAAAAAAATTGAAATCGCGGAAGAAAAGAAAACCAATGGAAGAAACGAGGCGATGGTAGATGAGTAGCTTGTGTAGCTGGCGGTTTTGTGGGTGCTTGTACTGTGCGCAATGAGGCTTGGTACGAAAAATAGTTTTCTTCCACTTGCGGTTTCGCCGCTCATAGCTCTGCAAAAATCTGTAAAGCGTACACAAAAACACCAGCAACGCAGGGTCATAGGCAGAAGTGTCTTCCTAGCATTAGAGGGTTTGCATTCATCCTTCCCATAATTGCTGTACACTCATGAAAACCCTTCCTCACTCAGTGATCTCTCTTACACTCTCCGTCGCCTTCAGCCATATAAACTTTAGGCCTCCAGATTACAATAACAGCACAATATAGTCTAGGCAACATGTCAATATTTATCGCTTGGAAGGAGAGGGGTTTTGGAGGTTTTAGGCTGTGTCACGATAAAATTTCTCTGAGTTCTCCCTTAGGCTTTATAATATTCTCATTCGCCCTCCCCCTCCCCCCCTCGCTCTCACTGGCAGTTCCCCCTCCATTCCCCCTCCGGTGACCCAAGCTCGATAAGGAAAAATATCGGATACGAGGGGGCGTCAATGACAGACTCCTAAATGTTGTCGTAGCGTGGTTTCCGCATTAGAGATTGAAAGCAAATGATTAGCCAACCGTAACAAAGGCACACATGCATTCCTCACGTAGCTTTAGAAGGAAAGTTGACATATTCCTCACGTAGCTTTAGAAGGAAAGTTGACATATTCATTTAGACCTTCATATGATTTAGAATCTAAGCAATACTTCTCTTTGCTGATCGTCGCTCAGTTTGATTTAACTTAAAATGTACTTCAAGTTAATTAAGTCGTTCACCGTCTCTGTATTTAAGCATTCCGCAATATGACAAGCTACTAATTATAGCTTATGTAAGTGATGATGCATTCTGTCAACCGAAGAGCCATCAACACTTCGAAAAATTGCCAAACGTGCATTTGCTCTAAATCCTATTGAAAAACCTCTCGGTGAAAGAAAGTTTAGAAAACTATCAGACAATACGAAGAGTACTTCGATTGGTGAATGCGTTGTTTGCCAAGCAGCAGCAACATACGTAAATATCTCAACCCCTCGGAAATTTTGATTTACTGAGACTTGTTTGGCGGACAACAGCAAGTTACAAGAACGTAAAAGTTGACGATTGACATTGAAATCTGAAATCACCCTCATCTGAAAGGACACAGAAGAATAGAAGTCCTAAAACTCGGCGAATTAGCTTATGATTACGGTATCACGATTACTGTTGTCGGTGACAGACGGAATTGTGTATTACAGCTCGACGTTTTTCACTGTCCCGCCGTGTCAATATTGCAAGACATTGCTCAATTCTTTTCTAAATTCGTTTCGTGAAAAGCATACACGATATCCAAAATTACTCATACTATCTTACCTGATAGTTAATGTACAGTACAACTGTTCGTGTTCGTTGTTCCGTCTTGATGCTTCAGCACAAATCGACTGAAAGAAAAACCCTAACCTCTTGACTTCCTGCTCAGATTAGTACTGGATTAGTACTGGTGTCTAGAAACACGCAAGTTCCTGTTGTAACAATCATCGTCACGCCAAATGTCACGCACCTGTTTACATCTTAGTGTTGTCTCCTCACTCAACAATTGCCACGTATACCACATAAAATAAGGTTTTCACCGAATCTTAACGAAACAGCGTAAGTTGTTTATAGTAAAGGATCTTTTTGGCGGAAGGATTTTATCAATAGGCAAGTTTTCAGTGCATGCCAGAAACACGAGTTATCCCTGATAATTTTGAACAGCGGATACTCCCCAAAGCGATGGCATTAACATGGCGGACAAGATCTCTAGTTGTAGGACTTTGTGCATTTTCAGTCATAACCACCTTAGTGAACAAGGTTACCGATTTTTGTTGTTTCGAATGTAATTTATATTTGTTATGAATTTAATTTCTACCTCAATGTTTCAACTTAACGGGAGTGAATATCGCTTTTTCCCTTAAGATTCGTCATTAAACGATCGTTCACTGAAATATAGAATCAGCACCATAGCATTGATACTTTTTCGTTTCTTTGTAATCTACAGCATGTTTTATCAGACCTGAGGTTTACCTATCCAACAGTTTTTCAAAGGTAAGCCTTAAAATTCTCTCTAATTTAATTAAAATTAGCTCTAATTTGATTAGTACTTGTGACTCTTCAACTCTAAAGATCGATATGGTAATTCTCCCATCTACAATCAGTGACAAAATTGTTCACAATTTTATCTTTTTAACCCCGTTACTTTAATTTTATCTCTTTTGCTGTCACTAAGTTAACCTATTTCTACCTTCCCTCCCCCCCCCAAAAAAAAATAACCACATAATTGATTCCATGAACTTTTTAGCCAATATTTAATGGGGGAGGGGGTCAGTTTATGATTAACCGTTCAAGTAGAAACAGGACTGTTCTTTTTCATATAGATACAACTTTTCATGTATGATGTGTCAACTAATTGCGATGCTGATTGTAGCTGCTACACATTTCCCTGTAAATTAGTTATGAGAATTCGGTGTGAGATCAATGTAACGTACCACTTCTTCCTGATAAGTTTGAATATTCTCATTACCTGTTTGCAGGATAATGTATGGATATTATAGGGAGAAGTGACATGTTATCGCTTATAGGAGTTAAAAAGTTAACTCCGGCCCCAAAATCATTAAAGCTAACTCTCCCAACTCGTTACCATACATTTCTTTGTGAGTTAATTATGAGAATTTTGTGCTGAATCCTAAAGAATGACTTTCTGTGGTGGGTGGTCTCCTTACCTTACTAACAGTGTACTGAACTTTTAAGAAAAATTAGAATAATGATCTTGGTTAATTTTAAAATAATAATTTTTACAATGGATTACTCCTGCCCCTCTTACGGTCCTCTATGGAAGCGTGATTTGTCACAGATGTGATATACACTGTGATGATATTCTTGTATTTCACTACAGTAAAATGTTACTACAAACTATTTTCTTCTGATGATGTTGTTCATTTGTTTTGTTTTTTCCAGTTGGCAGACAGGAACTGTAGCTTTGGTGTTACTTTCTTTGAATGCTCTAGGATATATTGAACTTACCTTTTTGCCTGTAACCAGGTACAAGTGTACACTGTAGAGTCTTTTGATAATTTGGTAATCACTTGTGTACTGGTGTTAATTAATTATTACCTAATACAAGTGGATTTATATGATTGTACACCCACTAGAATATACTTGGCATTTGGGTTTAAAGCAGTATTTTTCCTTGTCTTTTTTGTACACGTTATTACTTGTGATGTGGCTGAAATATATATGGCTTTCCTTCTTTAACTCATTGGTTTTATAAAAAACTGGATCATTGGATAATGCAATTCAAGACTTTTTATTGGCTTAGCCGTTATGGTATATGAACCAATATACCATAATCTACAAATATGGTAAGCATACGCGTCAGTTTAAAATTAAAAGGGAGCTAAAAATGTAGTAAAATTTAATCATTTAATTTAACATTTTTTATAAAACAATTATTCCACTCGCTCTTGTTGAATATGAGATGATTATAGCCAACAAGGTGCGTAGCGCTTCGTTGACTATCTATTATCTCATATCCAATGCGCACTCGTGCAATAATTGTTAATTAATATTTTAGCCCCACTCTTGCATCATGGCTCCCTGCCTCAGTGCTGTTCAGTGGAATGATTTATTCAGGATCAGTTGCTCTATCAAGACTGGTTAGTGTTTTGGTTTTTTTATCAGGAGTACAGTGAAAGAGATGATCGTATAACTTTACTTTACCTGTAGATGACTATTAAAAGAAAAGTCGCCCATTTTCTTGGAAACTCTTCTTAAATGGATCGAAACACATCTTTCAACCTGTATATGAACTCATGTAAATTAATATATACTATATTTTTTTGCAACACATGTAAATATTTTTTGACCAACTGTAATTTTTAAATTTTGCTATCATTGTATATTACAACAGAATAGCCTCATAAGGGAAGTCGAAACAAAGTGTATTGTATTTTATTTAATCCAAATGTGCTTCATATAGAGTACAAATAATGCATGAGACAAGTACAGATTTTACATGATATTTGTACTCCAGAAATATCCATGAAATTCACCCGCAATTAAATAACAATCTGGCATGTTGGATAATAGATCTCTTATTTAACATTTTGTTGTGCAGTATTGCTGATTAATTTTAATTGTTGTTTGTATTCTGACTCGCCCTATGGGCTTGTCAAAATATGGCACAACTCGTAAAAATGCTCAGGGATACTACACAACGAAATGTCCAATAAGATGTGTATTGTACCATGGAACTGATCCCCACAGGTAATTATATGATGATCAGATTCCTCTTAAGGAAAAATAAAAACCTTTAACCCTTAAACTATTAATTGATTAACCAGTAACTTCTCCCTATAATATCCATACATTATCCAGCAAACAGGTAATGAGAATACTCAATCTTATCGGGAAGAATTTGTTACCTTGATTGAACACCAAATTCTCATAATCAATTTACAAGGAAATGTGTAGCAGCTAGAGGGGAGAATTCATAATCAGATCTTGGGAATTAAAGGGTTAAAGCCAAAGATCAGTATGCATATTCTCCATGCTGTTCTCTATACATTTTCTAACATGCTGACATGGAGAATTTGTTTAACCATCACAAGCTTTTTCAGTCATTTCCTTTATTCTTTTGGCCTTAATTTGTGATTCAGGGGTAACAAATAATTTGTAAGGAGAAATTAGACACTGGTCACTCTCAGGAGTCAAAAGCATTAACCGTATCCCTAGCCCCTAACTATCTTAGTATCTGGGGGACTCCTGCAGGCTTGTGCTCCAGTGAAGCTGCATTTCTTCAGGAGGCTTTGTTCTCTGCAGTTTCTTTCTTGCCTGGCACCTGCGTAGATGAGTTCCTTGTCAATAGAAGAAACCTTCAGAAAAGCCTTTGAATTGTAATTCACAGGTGCTGGTCATATCTCCAAAGCTTCTGTGTAGATCGACATATTTGTTTTCAGACATGGGTAAAAACTTTTTCTTTCTCTCTTAATTTTTTCTTCTTAAACAGCTAGTTCCAGTTTTCTGTGGCATGTGTTACTTACAGAATCTATTTGTGGCATTATTAGAGTCATTTATACTTAAAAAGGTGAGGTAGAGATTTCTTGAACTAATATCTTGTCTATGAAAACTAATATAGCTCTGACTTGCTTTACTTGAAAGCAACATTATTCAAGCAGTATTGATTTATTTGAAGTAGTTAGTGTTTGTGAAGCTAAAGTTGATCAACAAGTCATCAATCCCAGTTCAGTGTGGCAAATGCAGTGGCTGAAGCTGGTGCAGAGAGGTCCAAGGTTTACCTAAGTTGTACGAGAGTCTTTGTGTTGTGTTCTTGAGCAAGACCTGGGACTGTAGATCTCCCATTTCCTCTTTCACCTGTGAGGGTGAAGAAGTACCAGAAAATTACTAATCTTGATTGGATACTGTGAAGTTAAACAGTTCTGCTACCACGTACCAGTACCCCTTTCAGTGGGAGTGGCACGGCATTTCTCTCACCCTTAAAATTAGACAGCAGGATAAGCTCCAGAAGTGTAGACTTCGTAATTGGCTCTAGAAAACTAAATGACTAATTTACATACACTTTCACCCAGGAGAGTCAGAAGAACCACCAGCAAATTGCTAATCTTGATTAATAGATACTGTGAGTTTAAACCTGCTAACATGTACTCGTACCCCTTTCAGTGGGGAGGGGCAGTCCTCTCACCCTTAAATTAGACGGTGGGATGAGCTACAGAAGTGTAGACTACCTAATTGGCTCAAGAGAACTAAATAAATATCTAATATACATACGCTATGTATCACAATAGGCTGATTCTTTAATGAGGAATTTTGTTGATAAGAAATTAAAACCTTTTTTTCTTCAGGAGCCATCAACAAACTCACAATTCAGGTAGGGTCATGATTGTAACTTGTCTCTCAGCCCTACAGTGAACAGATCCTTACACAAACAGATCCTTACAGTTATATACACTCCTTTGTCTTAACTATTTTCTTTCTTTTTGTATAAATTATTGTTTTGTAATTTTCAAATTATCTACATTGAACCACTGAAATGATGCACATGCTCCATAAGACAGTATAGAGCATCAATTGATAAACTTCTGGACTGTCTTTCCATCAGACAAACATGTCTGAATAAATAGATAAAAGAAGTAAATACTGGGTAAATATTACAGCCATCGATGGGTAGCAGGGGTAACTTTCTGAAGAAACTGTGGTGCTGCAACAGTGGGGGTTAAAGAAAGTAATTTGGTTATTAACTAAGTGGAAATTGTAGATTGGCCACCTAGAGTTAAAAAGTTGATGTTCCGAACATTAGCCCTTTGTCAAAAGCTCAAAATAACAACTTTTAAACTCTTTATGGAGGCCAATTTACAATTTCAACTTAGTTGATAAAACCAAATTATCTATGGGTAGCATTTCATTTGGTAATTTTACATATAGGTTATTATTTTAAACTCGGAACTCTAAAGTTTACCATCAACTGTTGTCAATAAGCTGCTTTCATCTGTTATTTCTGACACAATTGCATGCACTCAGGTTTGCATTGACTCAATATCATTATAGAGCTTTTTGGAAGCCTGGGATTTATTCGAGGAATCATCAACACTAACAATTAAGTTAACTCAATGCAATAGAATAGTGTACTCCTTTATTAAAACAGGTTTCATTTTCTTGACAGTTTGATATTTACAGCAATTGCCACAGTGTCTGTGGCAGGGACTGATGTTCAGGTAATTTGATGTACCGGTATTTTCATATTTACCTGTTAACTTTTCACTGTTATGATATTTAAAAATACATAATTGGTTGCAAGACTAGTGTGGAACAAAAGATGTTTGTGTGTCCTAAACAAGGACTTAAACAGATCTATTATGTTTATATTAACCATTTATTTTACCTCACTTCATGTTAGTTTGATCAGATGGGCTACAAATGGCTTATGATTCACTGTGGACTTTCAGGCAAGTATTGCTGGGAAATTTAGGTTTATATGGGTACTATCTAGCCATCGAGGAAGCCCAACAAATTGTTGGAAGATGAAGGGTTATAATAACTGGCAATGGACCGGCATGATCATAGTGGGGGAAGTAAATAATACCCTAATTCACTTGATGCTGCTGAAACTGGGAATTGTGCTCTGGCTAGATGGGCTATTTTTGGCTCAATTGCAGATTTGTTTTCATTTTTTCCAAGATTTTAACCCTGAAGTTTCTAGGAGTTAAATCGTTTTTAATTTGGGATGTGTGTTATAAATTATTGGGTGAAGCAATTTTTTTTTGAATCGATCAGTATTCTTTTTCATTTAGTCATTAAATATATATGCTATATTTTCATGGACTCATTTAGTGTAGCCATGTTCCAAGTTTATAAGATGTTTATTGCATTTGTTGAAGATAATCTCAGACTAAATGTTGTGAACTGGAGATGTTTTAAATCTGAATGCGATCTTCTCATTCGGTATACAGCTACAAATTACATAAAACAGAAAGCTAGTCTCGAAACTGAAACAAATATTGAATTGCAAGAAAAAGAATAACACACAAAGCGACAACTTATTTTGGCCATCTCCAAGCTAAACCGAACATCAACAACAAAAGACAAAAAAAGCAAACCTTACTCACAGGTGGCCCAGGCTCTAGCTGTCACAGGGTCTGTCACAGGCTCTTTCACAGTGGATTATTATAGAGCTTGTATAGTGGTTTAGTTGGACTTGCTTTTGAGCTCTGTAAATATAAAGTTGTGTGAAATAATCAAAGAAATAAAGTCTTAAGTACAGAGTAGTCTGTGCTGTTCTTGTCGTGATTTGAGGCCGTTTTGCTGTGTTTCAGCTCAACGTCCTAGCACTATCAAATCGTGACAAGAACAGCACAAACTACTCTATATGAAGGTAAGATTTTATTTCTTTTACAATAATAATCATCCATGAAAAAATTTCTCATTTCTGATTGGTTAACATGAATGCAGTTTTCAGTTAATTCAGTGCAGAAGAGGGTTAATTTAGTGCAAAGAAAGTAGCAAACCAGACATTCTGATTGGTCAGAATGATTGGTCAATGTCGATGTCAAGGTCAATGTCGAGGTCAATGTCATTTGCCGGGTTTGAATAAATTCTTTTGCACCTAATGCGCGCGCTTTCCTTCTGCGTAGTTATGAGAGGCTACCTCGTATTTTTTCATGTATATTATTAATACATAATCATATGATTTTCTCATGCAATTTGAAATAAATAAGCACTAGTCTTGTAAATGTTTTATTTACAGGACTAGTGTAAATAAATACAAGACTAGTGTAAATAAATACAAGACTAGTGTAAACAAAATTGCATGAGCCCTATGGGCTCATGCAATTTTGTTAGTCTTTGAAAAAATTTACTTGTGCTTATTTATTCCAAATTGCACTCAAAATCAGGTGATTACCTATACTTATTTCACACAACTTTATATTTATGGAGCTTAAAAGCAAGTCCAAATAAACCACTATACAAACTCTATAATAATCCACTGTGAAAGAGCCTGTGACAGAGCCTGGGCCACCTGTGCCTTACTATGCACAAACAATGCACAACGGTTTGAGCACATGGTCATGTGATCTGCACAAGGGGGGACCGGAAGGGGAAACTGTCCCTAACAGCATTCTATTAAATAAATGGGGGCCTGTTTCTCGAACGTCACGGTACCTTAACGGGCCCAAGGCAATATTTTAAAATCAAAATTTAAATGATAGGAAAGCAGGCTCTGGCACCCAAACCAGTCTTTTTTGTTTCTCTAGCTAATAGTTTTATTGTATAATTTTCAAACCTTTGTAATCCCGATCTTGAATGAAAACAGAACGACCATTAAAAATGGGCCCGTTAAGTTACTGGGACTTTGGAGAAATGGGCCCCAGGTCCCAGTCGTTGGAAGGGTAGATAATGCTATCTACTGGTTAAATCACTCTCTGGTGGATAGTGCAATATGTTTTGTTATTTCTTATCCACTGGGTACTGATTAATCTGTTGGATAGTGCTTTCCACCCTTTGAACAACTGGGCCCAATTGGTTTGCTCATGATAAAGTTATGACTGATTTGAAGTTTATGTGACCAACTCATGTCTCTCTGTCTTTTATTCTAGCTATTTATGTTTATTATGGAAAATTCCAATATAAGAAATCATTAAGTGACTTGGATAAATTATTCTACAATGCCTTTGTCAGGTTTGTTTTGTCTCTAGGCAGTGACAATCTTGATTCTGATAAGTTTCATTCATTTGACGGTTTGGTTGTTTTTGTACATGTAGTTGTTGTTTTTTTCAGTGGTTCTTGACTCTTTTTCGTGTTCTTCCTAGTTTTTATTTGGACTGAAAGATGATTGACAGTTGAAACAGTCTAAGGCTACTTTTCTAGTCTATCAGGGTTTTCGTATGTTGTTATGTTCTTCATAATGTGACTGGTAATGGACTTTCATTAGCATCTCTATCTCTGAAAGTCAGAATCAAATATCAGATGGCTTTAGGAAAATCAAGTTTTTATGCACCTTGTTGTTTTTCTTTTTACTGTTGTTTTTGTCTCTTGGGCTGGTACTCAATTGAGATATTGGTCAATAACTATTTCTTGTCTCTGTTTTTCTTTCAGTGTAATTCTTTTGATGGCAATTAGTGTTTTAACGGGTAAGAAGAGACATAGTTTTTGAATATTACTTTGAGCAAACTTTTCAAATCCATACGGGTACAATAGTTACCTGTGACCAGGCTCTCATTGGCCCCACAGTAATAGCGACAAAGAAGCTAAGATTCAAACCATTGAGCAAAGCAAGTTTGTTAGAGGTAATGGGAGCAGAGTTCTCACACCCTCGCCTTTTTTACGGACTCGAAACTCAGGAACCTTGTCACTCTCATTGCACTCATGAGAACCTTCTCACAATCTTTTCAAGTATATACATACTGTTATATGCTACAGTTTTTTGGATAATTGAATTGTTTATGCAGATACGTTGGACTTGATTCGCAAAATGATAATTATGTTCATTCATACTTCTCCAAGAGCAGTTCTGTAGACTGCTGTAGTGTATAACATTTAGAAACTCGTGTCCTGCAACCTAGCTGCTGTGTCCAAGCTCGCTTACTTCATATATCACCCTAATCCACTGAATGTAACCGGTGCATCCTTCTGTCAATTGATTTATTATAGAGCTGTCGTCCAATAAACAATAGAATGGATTGTGCAGAACACCAACAAAACAATTTTAATGAAATATTATAGAAAAATTATCCAAGCAGATGTTTTTTTTTTATGTTTACTTATTTTGTTGTTTCTGTTTTTGTCCCTTTTTTATGAACTGTATTGTTTTTTTGTTTTTTTCTGGTAGGTGAGCTGTACAAAATAATTGAGTTTCCTTTCCTATATTCCACACATTTTCACCTAGGATGCGTGGGAAGGTAAAGATCTCTTTTGCAAAGAGTCTAATGCAATGCAGGTAGCCAAATCTACAATATTGAACAACAAACTATATTATAATTATAACCACACAGGAGGTGAATACTCTTTCAAGCATTACTTTTTAAACGAAAATAACCGTTGAAGCTCTCTTTTTTTATGTTTATTTCAGTGGCGTATTTGGAGCAGCACTCGGGCTGTTAAAAGTGTCTCTGTTGAATACAGAAGTTTTCTTTTCTTTGGGAATAATAGATAGCCTCAATAAGGTCAGTAGTACAGTTCAGTTTAAATAACCAGCAGTCCGCTACAATACCCCCTTTCCCCGTCTGGTACTGTGCAACCACAGGAAAAAAGGTGCAACATTGAACTGGGAGAGTAGGGGTAAAGTAAAGGAAGGAGGAAATAAATTGGTTTAATACGCCAGAATATTGCAATTTAATGGCTAAGTTTCAACAATCTTTTCGCTTAGTGTAGCTGACCTCATGTGCTCGCACACAATTATGGGAAATCCGAAAAGGGTGGGCGTGTCCCAATTTTTGCCCCTTTTTCGACACTATGGCTGGCCTCTCTTAGTTCGTGGGTAAAATAAGGTATTTTTATAATGCTATGGGTTTCGCCATTTTTTACTCTTCTCTGAGGACCTAAAACCAAGCAAGTTAAGCAGCTCCATCCCCCCATCCCACCCCCTATCTCCACACTTCGATTAATCCACCTCCTCACCCCTCACCCCTCTCTCCAAAAAATGTCTATTATTAATTTATTGAAAAAATAAATCGGTTTTATTGAAGAAAATGATTGATTATGATAATTATTACTTAAGTTAATTTTACTACTCCACAGGTTGCCGTATCTTTTCTGTCGCTGTTTATTTTCGATATCACCCTTGACATTAACATGGCTGTGAGGTAAAATGGATGATTCCTTTTTATTTTGTTATATTTTTTTTTCGATTTATTTGTATTAGTAATTCGTAAAGTATAGCTAAGGAGTTGCTTTGAGATGAGCTATAAGGCCAATATAGAGCACAGAGCAATATATCGCAATAAAACGCAATATAACCCTGAGTAGATTGGTCTGGTCATGCAGTCAATTCTGCCGGCGTAACGACTGATTGCGTCAAGATTTGAAAGTCTCTAATGCTATATTTATCACATAAACTCCCAGACACTATTATAATAAGTTTTGTTTTGTTTTATTTAAATTTCCATCGGCATCGCCCTTCTTGTATGATGTTTATCACGACGATCCAGAGACATTATTACATTATGGAATTGTGTTTCTTTTATTTTCATTCCCAGTATCATCGCAGC